TTCACTGGCAGCACACGCTCGCCCCCCTTGAGTAGCTCTAGAGCTGGTGGTAAAAGGAAGCCTAACGCGGACGCATACGATATCATCATGAACGCGATAGTGCTCCACTTAGCTGTTATAAACATTAGACTTTTGGTTAACATCAGTTACAGATATTAATTGATTTTTTATCTTTCTTTACAATGAGTTTTTCTAATTAAAAAGAAATTAGAAATGCGTGCGCACACCGTCGATGTACAATTAACTTTAATTAAGTTTTAATATTTTATCAAATCAAAGGAAATAAAAAATCCATTTGTACATTTTCGTAATCCAATATCTTTGATATCTACATGCATGTTAGATGATAGAAAAACTTTAAGACATAATACTTTAACAAAATTGTATGTTTGCCACAAAGGTTGTTACATAATATTTAATTATCCTAACAATTAATTAACTGTTAGCATAATTAATTAATTATTAAGCAATTAATCAAAACAATTATTTAAGTGCCAAAGTATATATCAATTTGCAGAGTGATATAGCAATATCCAGTTAACAAGAAATGATATTTAGACACAGGTGATTATTTATATTATACATATATATTTCTCTTAATTATCTTGTCGTTGATATATGTATTTATATTTCGTGATACGTAACATTTATGCCAAACTACATGCATATTTGCGAATTGCGAATACTCGAGTACCTCTGCGGCTGTGCTTTTCCATTATTAGCTTTTCCGTGGAATTTCTCGGCTGGCACATTTTCACGCGCAGGCACTCCAACAAATCCAACAGCTCGTTCTTCCGCAACAGAAAATTTGCATACTTCACGCACAGCGTTAAGAAAGTCAGTCCTAAGAAGAGCCCTTCGGTTAGCTCTTGAATGCGGTCGCGCGTGCGAATCATCTCTATCACATCGGATACCGTAAACTCGTATATCAAGAGAAAAACCGCGTATCTGTAATTTACCAATGCTTTAAATGATCGATGAATAAATTGGCGAGAAAAGGAAAAGACTCTTATAGAAATGGCGAAATTCACAGATCGATGCGGAAAACCTTTTGTATCACTATCTTTATTTTTTGCTGTATGGTATATTTTAGGTATAACTGCTTCATGTGTACTACCTGTAACAAAGGCGCAAAAATCCAACGCACATGTTGTCGTCCTCCCGCTCTTTCCATGCGCCGCAAAAACGCAGGGCCTTAAAGTTTATCGGTAGAATGTCCATATCTTCATCCTCGTGTAATTGCTGGCTTTATTCTCGTCCCGTCGTTCCAGCCGTCGCGAAATCTCCTTCGTCTTTTTAATAATGTACAGGTTTGTCTTTCTTTTTCTAGCGGGATAGTAACATTTCTGACAACATCCTATCATTACAATTGCATTTATGCATTAATAATGCCGTACACGTTGTCAAGCGCACATTAAATTTTAATACGACCGAGTTGCCTCGGTTTCTCATCGGAGCCCTTTTTCAACATCGCGTACATCTCGTTTATCGAAGAAAAGAATTTGTTTCTATATATAGTTAATAT